TAACAAGAAGTTTAAAAAAGATCCCATGAAACATGCTGTTATTTCTGCCACACAAGACAACATTCAGAAATAAGCTGACTGCAGAACACTTGCACTCTTCTATAGGGGGAGCAAAATACTTCTGAGTATAAGGCACAGAGCACTGTTTATGTCAGAGGTGGTACACTACAGGCTTTAAAAGAAACTGAACTGTTTCTCTTTGTGAAGTGTTTTCCTCCTTTTAATAACCATCTCACCAGAAACACTTATAGCTCATTAATTTTAAGAATGTATTGCCTGGTCCTTAACAAAGGCATCTGGATACCTGGAGCACTGGGAAGCAGTGCTGTCAAATGAGCAACCACATTGTTCTGTTTAGGTATCCTGCAACACTCAACAATGAATTCATGGCAGGATAGGTTTTCTGTAGTCTGGAAACTGGTGTGGCACTGAGCTAGCATACGTTGGTTTTGTTATAGACAGTACAACAAAAAGAGAACACAAATAATGGGGTGTTTTGTTTGCTTTTTATCTTTTGATATCACCTACTGTAACGTTCATCTCTGAAGTCCCATCTCACCATCAAACTGGAGGCGCCTGTGACTGGAGCATGTCTGTCCATGCTTCATTTTCACCTGCTCCTACAAACACTTGTGAGCACAGTCCTTCAGGAGGAGAGCTAAAAACATTCAAGTCTGCAGCCGTAGTGAGGCTCAAATCTCTAGGTTTACAAGCAAAGTGAAGAAAGTGACAGCATTCAATAGCAAGGCACTTCAAGGATTGCTTACTGGTACATATTTACAGAATACTCTTTCTTCTTCAGCAGTACAACAAAATATGCACTGATGTCAATACATAAGGAAACCTTTCAAAAGTATATTGATGCCCAAAGTTATATTAATGCCGATGCCCAGTTCTATTACGAACATGGTCTCCAGCTCATTTTTATCAACAGTACACTACACAAATACGTGATTTAGCTGAGCAGAGAGGAGAGGTCGACACAATCAGGTTTTCAACAGTTTAGCTGCTGTAGCTGACAGCTCACAATTGCAACTATTCATTAGTGTTCCTGGAATACAGCCTGCACAGTTCAAGCTGGTCAGCTATCTCTAGAAAATGATCTAGACTCTACTTCTTTTCCAACATGCCTAGTAATATTTTGCCCCAAAAGTCTGCCAACCCTGTAGGAGGTTTGAACAACCTTTCTCAGTAACATTCTTTTAACACAGGCAACATATTTCTTTTTTCCCCCAAGAGCCAAAATAAAGTTATTAAACCAGCTGGAATATTATGCTTGTCAACAACTAATGTGTGCATACACAGGCATAAAGGTGAGCAGAGAAACTGACACTCACTGAATCAAAAACCCTCCCAGCACTCTAACTGCCTCCAGCCACAATCACCAGTACTGCTTTGAGAGCCCACCAAAGGAAGGGTCAGGGCAATCCTGAGACACAGGATCTACTTGTGTTTTTACAGTATTTGTCATACTCCAAATTCAAAGTGGATTGCAATATCCACATCTGCCCCAGTAAAAGTGCCATTTCCTCCATCCTTCAGTAATGTTGCAGTTATTCTACTTGTAGCCACATTTAGAGAGAAAACTAAAACTATATTATGCTGTGGATCTTTCATAACTTCCACAGAACATATGTCTCTTTTTAAGAGCTTGGCAATTTAGATACATTAACTGAAAAAAAACAGCTTTGCCTGTTAAAGGAAGGTGTGATTTGCCAAAGGCTTTTTTGTCTCTTTTTTTTTTTAAATTCTTTTGGACCACCTACCTGCCCTCTCTTCCCTTCCTCCCCTCACCCCCTGATAAAATTTCTTGATTATTTGATTCCTCATTACTCTTCAGAGCAATGCAAGAAACCACAGTTTTGTCTAGACTACTGTACAAGTGTACTGGACTACCAGAGCAGGAAATTAAAGGTTTTCAGGCAAGGTCTTGCAAAAAAGTCAGTTGTACATCTATAGCTACATAGTTCTATATATCTACCTATAGATATATCAGACTATATAGCCTCACACCTCTACCTCTATCTTTGATTAGTTTGCTTTAAAAGAGCAGAACATAAGATAGGAATAATACATAGAACTTTTCTTCAGAAAGATGGGAACTCACCAACTTTTTGTATCAGAACTCTCTGTCTCTTACTCACTATACTTCTCGCCTGAGCTGTTTTCAGAGTTCCCACCCATTTTACCTTTAAAACAGTTCCTCTTCATATTCAAAACTGTGAATGACCTACTAGATAAATCCAAAGTATCCAGAGCTATACTGTATTTCTTCATGAATCATTGTTTTACAATATGACTGCAGGGGGATGATCAAGCTTCAAGTACACACAAGTATTTTGACGTAACTGAAGGTGTCAGAAGAAATGCAGACACCTACCTACACACCAAGCCGCTCTTTATTGAAATAAAGAAAAAAAAAAAAAAAAATGGTTTCCACAAATTTCTAGCTCTTATGATCACAAAGTAAACTCTCTAAACAAAACCAAGCATCAACTTCCTGAGCCTGCAGGCAGCCTGGAACAGTGACTCATGACATGTGAGCTCCCTTTGTGCCCTATTAGCTTTATCAGTGTCAACTCTCAGCCTATTAATGACACTTGAAGGTCTTCATTAACTATTTCACCACCGATGGCAGTAGATAGGGCACCTAAGCATAAGCCCATGGGAGTAGTAGTGCAACTTAAATGGCTGGAAAGAGGAAAAAAGCAGGAGCAAGAAGAGGGCAGCAGACAAGCAAGCGAGTTTTGTAATAAAGCCTTCTCAGTGAGTAAAGCAAATAAAACCAAAGGTGGTAATACAGCCTTAACAAGCTGCTATGTTTTTATTTTCTCCTTCCTGTCTGAAACCAGCCTAAGTCAGCCTAGTGTTTGAGGAAAGCAAAGAATAAACTTAGGTCTGCTAGCTCTGTATGTACCTTCTAGTTTGTATGAAGTCCAGGCCTGCTTAAATTAAGTCTTTATTGCTTGTCAGTATCACTACTAAAGGAAGCTATTCCAACATGGGAGAGACTCACATAGCGCAGAGCTCTCACTTCATGTACCACTTCACCAAGTGACAAGGTTTTATCACCCAGTGCAGAAGCAGACAACTGAGAAGTATATGTTTCTTCTCAGATAACCACAAGTTAGTTTCTCTACTGAACACCCATGTGGCACGTCAAAAAGAGCACTCTGCATTTAGAGTCCATTCCTAGTTCTTACTCACAGTTCTCAGAGCCAAGTTCCTGAAAAAAATTTCTTTAGAAATGAATGTGGGAAGCAATGCTGCAAGGTGGCTCAAGATCAAAGACAAAACTATGAAAATAACTGTAAAAAAGCACTGTTCAGGGTAAGAGTACTAAGAATTGTCTTACCAGTGTGCAAGACAAAGCTAACAGCCCACAGGTTTGAATAAGCAGGACATTTTTTTCCTTATTATACAAAGTAATTCATTTGTCACCGATAAATCATAGTAACAGACATTATATAAATATTAAGCATTAGAAACTATGCAAAATACATTCTGACTGCTTCATCATCAAAATGATTAAACAAGACAAATCATTCACTGATTCACTTCACTATGGAAAAAAGACTAGTAGCTTGAAATCTAACCTTATTTGCACACAGCAGAGTTTGTCAGCTGGGTCAGCAATCCTCTTAAGGTGAGTACAACTGCTAGAAAACTTTAATTGTTTAACTTTTTAAGTTCTTCATCGCTTTAACTGGAACCAGCACAACTCTCCAGAACACAGCTTTTGCTTGCATAAAGGCATTAGCACAGTTACCACCTCAAAGACAGCATTACTCCAAGTTCTAGGGAGCACAAGGCCTCACTATGGCAGACGGCATCTCAAAGAAACGAGTGAGTGTGTGGAGAGTTACTTTTCCATCCACTTCATCCTAACCCCACACACGCAGCTGCTTTACTACCACGTATTCTGAGCAACACCAAGTGCGTTATCTTCTGGTACTCTCCAAAGTCTGGTACTCTTCAAAGGTGAAGAAAGGCTTACAGGATAACAGCACATCAGACCTTCTCCGAATGATGCTACTCCTACTTTTAAAAATACATATACATGAAAGCCACATGTATTTCATTTCCCCTAAACTGTAGCAATCCCAACTGTAAAGGTTAATGACACTGTGTGCTCAAACACTGCTTCTCTGAAAGTCTTCTCAAATAAATCAATTAAGGCGTTTTAGCCATCACACCACCCCCTTCACAGCAGTCTGACAAGCCTGTGGGAACAAGTCACATACATGCTTCCCCTCTCAGGCCCTCCAATCAGTGTGCTCACGCTACACACCCTCATCACCAACTAACAGCTCCAAATTACTTTCCTGTCAAGAAAACTCATTGTGAGGTTGTACTTTCCACTGTCTACATCTTCACCAAAGCAAGCGGTATCAATTTTTTTTCAGTGCAAAGGAGCATTATCTGTAGAGCTTTCACAAAGTCATATCCAGATGCCAGTATTTCCAACTTTTTGGCACTACCAACAAACTAAACAGCCCAACAAAAATCAATAAGCTGTGCTATAAGCCCTGAAGTTTTCTCAGAGACTTCACCTGATAGCCCTGAGAAGGCCACCCTACAGTGGCGTTGATAAACCCATTTTAACCTGGCTGTCATTCCACTGTTTTATGCTACGTTCAGGGGAAAGGAGAGAACAGACTTTCCCATCTAACGAGCAACAAAGCGCAGGACAGTTTCCAGTTTTTCATTAGAAAGAGTTCAAGTTACTTGTGCATTAAGCACAAGACTTCCACACTACTTTCTCCTGTTTTCTGAGAAAAGTGATCACACTCATAGTCCAAGGAGAAAAGTAGAGTTCACTACTTACCTAAACACCTGGCTAAGTTTAGTACGCTTAAAAAAAAAAACCAAAAATAGTTCAGGTAAGTTTCATTATGACTTTCTGAAAATATGAACTTAGAAAAAACACTTAACAGTAACTTGAAAGTTATTTTCCTTTAAGAAAAGGTATTTTTATGGCATTATAAAATAATTCATACCTGTCTTCATCACCATCAACAGGAATAGATATGCCAAACACAGAGCTGGCAAGACTGTTCATAGGAGTACTTGCAGGTAGCTGAAGAGGATTTGCTAGAGTGTCTGGAACGGGAGGCTTCACAAGAGGTTTATTTTCAGCTATAAGAGAAAGTGGTGGCTGAGGTAGGGGTTCTGATTTTCTTCTCGTATCATCAATCTGGCCTACTAAGGATTGAGCTTGAGTTTGAAACTGTCCAAGGTTTGACTGTGGCAGGTTGGCAGGTACGTTAGGCGTGCCTTGCATTATAGAATGTCCAACGTGCTGCGGCTGGACAACGCCGGTACTCCTGCTGACAGAAGTGTGGCTGGTCATCTGTGACTGGGCCAGTGTAACAGGGACATTTGGCATAGTAACAGAAGTGGTGGTAGACACACTAGGCACACTTGTACCGGGCACAACCGCAGGCACGTTCTGAACTCCAGAGACCGCGGCGTGGGGAGCAGCGGGCACGCCGGACACTTGACTGCTTCCACCCATTGGATGCTGAGTCACAGATTTCTGTTGCACAGCCCCGGCGTGTCCAACGCCTTGCTGCACCGCACCTCCCGGCTGCGGGATGGCAGCCTGACCGCCTTGCGTCTGGCCGCTCTGCATCAGTCCCGCTCCCTGTCCCACTGCCTCGCCGGGCTGCGCCGACACCCCCATCACTGGCGCTCCCACCAGCGAGGGATTTTGGCCGGTCCCCTGCCCCACAGGAAGGCTGGACGCCACAGTACTTGGAACGGAGCCCGCAGCAGCCTGTTGAAGAGCTCCTTGAGACTGCATAATTGTCATGTGCTGCATGTATTCGGCTTGACCAGAAGGTTGCGCCGGCAGTAGATGCACTGGTGGGATCTGGGACTGAGAATAAGCGAACTGTTGAGGCTGAGTGACTGGAATACTTGTCTGCTGCACCTGCTGCTGAGCCCCAGGAACGCTTGGCTGCCCTACTGTCACGTTTGGAGGTGCCATGCCTTTCCCGTTGGGTCCAGCCTGTGCAAGAGCCTGCGTATTTACCTGTGGCTGTGACTGCTGTGGCACCATCATTTGCTGATTTGCTACCGAAGCCCCACAAAACATGGGCTGAGCAGTACTTTGAGGCATGGCCCCACCTATGGGTTGTTGTGGATGCTGTTGTTGCCCAATGACAAAATTAGGTTGCTGTAGAGAGGACTGGTTCATTTTCTCTGTCTGAAGCAGCTGTGACACAGCAGTCAGGGAACTGTCAGCTATAGAATCAGGGCCGTGGGCCGACGCTGGTACAGCCGAGACCACGACGGAGCTTCCTGTGGCACCAAGGCCGCTGTCTCTCTCTTGAGCAACCTGCTCAAAGGTGCTGCTGTGCCTAATGCAATCTCCAGTCCTGCCCAGGACACTACCACCATCCGAGTCCCGGTCATAATACTCCATACACGTCCATCGTCCTCGCCTGTAGGGCTCCCCTGTGCCATGGTCCAGCTTGATCACCCTGAAGCGTGAGCTGCACGTAGCAGCCGCTGTCTGAGCCCCAGGAGCGGCAGACACAGAAGGCCCTGTAGAGGGCAAGGCAGTTTGAGCACTGCTGCCTCCTGCCGCAGCAGTGCCAGGGGCAGCAGATGGCAGGGGCACAGCAGAGCTCTTGGGGACAGCCCCTCCATTGGGGGCCACAGCTGGTGGAGCCACAGCTGACCCACCAGCAGCGCCCGTCCAACAGGAGGTTGGGAGAGACGCTGTCAGGCGTTTCGGCCTCGCCTACGTTGTTGAGAGTCTCCTCAGAGGAGCTCCGCTCACAGACATCCTCAGGGCCATAGTCGGTGGCTCGGGAAACATCAAAGATTTCAGAAGACACGTCCTCGGTGCGGGACTCATCCGGGTCGTCCAGGCTCTCGGTGTCCTCGGTGATACTGCTGGCCACCTGGGCCGTGGTCACGCTGGTGATCTGGAAGCAGCTCTTCTTCTTGGCCGGCATCTTGGACATGTTTCCTCCGCGGGGAGGGGCCGCGACGGCCGGAGCGAGGCGAAGCGAGCGCTGTGCCGGGGCGGACTGTCACGGCGTG